TAATGGACATTGAAAAGAAGCTGCTATTACTGAGAACTGTGGAAAGGGGCTGCTCTGGAGCTCTCCATCTCTAGAAGTACCCCACCACTAATTTACATCACCAGGTGATGTGATGTTATGGAAAATATTGTATTTTTAGATACTAGAGACTTTAATATATATTCATTATGAAGTTGGTTAATTTTGGCAAAGCCCTCCACTTTTCTCAATTTTCTTTGTTAACTGTCTATGTTAATGCTAGATTTAGAAAGAAATGCTGTAGAAGAAGTCTGAACACACCATTTCTTATTTCAGGATCTAAAATAAGATCTTATGAAGGGGAAAGGCTATGTGTAACTCAGAAGAGAGACAGAACATTATTGAAATAACTCCTTCAGGGGTTGGAGAGGAATAAGAAACATCAGTACCTCTCCAAAAGGATTTTAGGAATGTATCCTATGGGAGATTTGGGTGGAACTGAGATTTGACTAAAGGGTGTAAAAGGGCCTAGTATAAAAAATAATAGATACTGAGTATTGAGCATACCTGTATGTAACGTATATCGTTTAATACTTACAACATTCTTTTGAGTGTTCTTTGATTTACACATGAGGAAAATAAAGCTTAAAAAGGCCAAATGATTTGTCCAAGGCAACAGGGTTACAGAAGAACAGAGCCAGAATTCGAACCCTAGATCTCGTGTATATGCATTCCACAACATTATGCTCCATATCCAAGTTGGGGCAGAATAAAAAAATCCAGCTGATAATGGATCCTAGGCTGTTAACAACCTGATCTGCACAGCAGGGCCAGGAAGGTAAGGTAAAGCAAATACCAGAATCATTTTGGGCAATGAACCACCCCCTTTTCTTTCCACAATCTCAATAGCACAGTCAAATCTATACATAGCCAAAGAATGCTATTTTTGAGACATTGCTAATAACTGATTTCAGCACCATTTATTTTAGTTACAGTTTTTCATTCATGAAATAGAAATGAAACCAAATGCCTCAAAAGGTTCATGCGAGGATTCATTAAGATAATGTATTTAAAAGTGCTTGCCTAGAGTATGGCTGCTAAATAAAAGGGAGTTGACTCCGAACTCCCAAATCTGGAGTTGTTTTGCTTTTAAGGACATAGTCTCAGTCTGAGACTATCTAGTCAGTTAGAAGAACAGAAGAAAAGATATTTTAAAAAAAAATCTGGGGAGGCTTTTATTAAAAAAAAGGGGGGGAGGAGGAATGTAATCTATGAAATGTTATTTGAGTCTACCTATTGGGTCAAATGGGCAGGGGAAGTATAAAGTTCAGCTGGTATTCAGTGAATCCAGTTCATGTCCAGGTTAAGCATAAGGCCAACTGATGTATTTTTTTTTTTTTTGTATAGTTACTATTTTTATAAAAGAGTAGACAGCTGCTTATGTGATATGATCTGAAAAATATTGAAAAGCCTTCTGTCCTCAAATCTTTCCTCTTTCAATCAGACATATAATCTGAAATTCCATTCTGGGAAATCTATCTTTGGGTTAAGGCAGTGATTCTCAAATTTTACTATATATCAGAACTGCCTGAGAATTTACTTAAATTATTGATGCTGGGACTACTGAGTCAGACTCTCTGAGGTCGGGGCTCAGGCAACTGTACTTTTAACTATATGAATCCAATGCATGACAAAGTTTGAGAAACACCAGATTAATGCATTATATCTACAGGAAGTCCCCTACTAAATTCCAAGTTTTCTCTCTAGGTGGTGGCCATGATTCTCAAATTACAACTTCTATCTCCTCATTCTACTACAACTAATTTTGTCAATATCATTGTAAGCTCTTTGCTGTCAGTGCTAATGGATTATTTTTGGTTCTTATATATTATGCATTTGGTGCTGTTTGCTATTCTTCTTCTCTTCATCTCTGAGATATCAGTGTCTCCTAGTATTCTGCCTTAACTCAGTGACTGCTCAGCACTCTCCTTTGCTGGTGTCTCCTCCTCCTTTCAACTCCAAATATGGAAATTCCTCAGGGTTTGTAGCCAGAGTCTCTACTCTTCTCTGTATATTCTTTTCCTAGACTTAAATATCTAACAACCAACAATTTCCAGATTTTTACCTCCTACCTTGTCTTCTCTCCTGAGTTCCAGTTTTGTGTTGCCAACCACCTACTTGACAGACACACTTGGGTATCTCATGGTTATCTCAAACTTTACATGTGATTCCTAGATTCTCCCTTACCCACCTCCATATTTTCCTCTAATCTATACTTCTTAGGAAATAGTACCACTGTTAGATCGGACAAAGGTCTCAAGGTCTGGGTGGTCCTTACTAAATGCTATTCTTGCTAAATGTTAAAATGTAGCACAGTATTTTGCAGATGTAACTACAACCTGATGAGCTTGACTGGAACCACAATCCATCTGATAAGTTTAGCTAACTGCAAAGAAGAAATCAACATGTAATTAACCAAATAATGTATACATAAGCAATGGATAAGCCTCTCTTGGTGAGACAGAGCTTTGGCTAAGAATCCCTTGTCTCCTTTACTTGTTGCAAGTAAAGAAAACTACCTAAACAACAACCACATCTTGTTCTTGAATAGAACACTCTAAGAGGTGAACCTCTTTGAGTTCGGTCACCCTGCCATTCACCCAGTTATTCAAATTAGAACATAGAAGCCATGCTTAGTCTTACTTCTCCCTCATTACCCACATCTGTTCCATCAGCAAGTCATGTCAATGTACTTCCAAATAAGTCCTGAATTTTCCCATCTCTCTATCTCTCTTGAGCATTATCCAGCAAGCCACCATCCTTTTTCCCAGGATCCTTTTTGGCATCCCAGCTTCATCTTTTATCCCCTTTACATCATTCTCAAGGAAGCCATAGCATTCTTTTAAATAATTCAAAACATAAAAACATAAATCAAGTAATTAATCTCCTTAAACTATTCAGTGGCTTCCCACTGCATTTAAAATAAAATTGATTTCTAACCTGGATCTGTAAGGCACACAGTAATTTCTTCCTCATCTTGGTCTATAGGCTCTTTATTTTCTGACTCACTATATTCCTCACAGTATCCCAGTTACACTGGCCTTATTTAAATTCCTCAAATATTCCAAATCATTTTCCTTTTCTGGGCCTTTGCATATACTGTTCCTTCTGTCTGGAATGGTCTTCACCTCCATAATTAGCTATTTCTCCTGCAGATCTTAGTTTAAGTCTTGCCTTCTGTAACCATTTTCTCTAAGTAGCTATTGTCTATTATTCTCATTAATTCTTCATAGTGCTTTGAATTTTGTAATAATTTATTCATTAATTCATTTGTTTGTTTATTGTCTATCTCTCACCCTAGAACATAGGCTCCATGAATTCAGAAACTATATACAAATCTAACTTCTAACTTCTGGCATATGTTACTTGCTCAATAAAAATTTGCTAAATAAACTTTTAAAAAATCAGAAAAATGTTAAAAAATACAGCAGAATATTTTATTTTCTGGAATTTCGGCGGGGGGAGGGGGGAACATTTCTAAGCGTGGCATGAAACCTAGAAACCGTGACAATACAGAAAGATTGAGTAATTTGACTACATTAAACATTTAACATTTCTGTATTACAAAATCAAATTTGGGAAAAATCATTGCAAAGTATTCAAATGGATTTCTTTAAATAAATAAGAAACAATAAGTAAGCCAATAGAAAAGATACAATTTATATATAAAAAATATATTCACCTTTACTCTTAAAAACATCAGATATTTATGCTGTTAAATTAGTAAGAATTAAAAAGATTTACAAATACCCAGATCAAGTGTGTGTGGAAGCAGTTAAGTTTCATACACTAATGTCATATACTAAGTTAACTTTCTGCATTGTAAGTTAGCTTAACATTTTTGTTGAACGATTTGGATATGCCTATTGAAATTTAAAGATTTACTTACCTTTGACCGGACACTGTTCTGAAGGAGAAATTTTAGAAAGTGATCCTAAAATAATACTTTCATAACATGTGGTATATATTCATATGTGACATATATTCTTATATTGATATTTATTTATATATCAATTTATTGTGGCATAGTTTTAATAAACGAATACTAGAAACCATCTGAATATGTAGTTAAATAATGAGACATTTATATAAAGAAATACTATGCAGTTGTTAAAAAGAACAATGCTGTAGATTTATATATTCTGTTTTGGAAAGATATCCTTTGATGTATTGCTAAATTGATCAGATTTAACTCAGTGATATGTGTAGTAAGATCCTGTTGTTTCTTTTTAAATAAAGATGTAAGTATTTATAAATCTTATAAATATGTTCAGGCATACATGGAAAAATAAGCAAATGACTGAAAATCTTAACCATGACTATATTTGAGAAATTGGATCTTGAAAAACTTTCTCTTTTAACATGGTACATTTCATACATTTCTGTATTGTTTGGATTTTTTTAAACTACAAGTGCGTATTATTCTGTAATTTTTTAAAATATGAGAGAGTGATAAGGAGAGAAAGAGAGAGAGAGAAAGAGAGAGAGAGAGAGAAATGATTATTGTTTCATGTGTTTTGCCATCGGCTATGGTTGGAGCCTCCGCTCTGGGCCTCCTGGAAGGTCAGACAGACTTTGTCAGGGTTTCAGGGGCTTCAGTCCTCTCCTTCTCCCTCTTTACACCAAGAAGTAGAGGCACTTTACCATCACATGTTTTTGTAAATGTTAAAAGACATAAAAGTTGTGAGAAGCTCTTTCAAATACAAAAGATTATTATCATAACTAAAGTCCACTTCCTATCCCAGACAGGACTGGTTGCTTATGAAGAAAACCCTCCCAGTGTGTGTTCGGTGCCGGAAACCCACAGTCAACTTCATCCAGAAAAAAAAAGAGCGGTTTCCCCAGCTTTCCCCTCATGCCCTGTGCTTCTCAGGGAGGGAGTGGGGCCTTCCTCCTGCTGCATCACTTCACCCGGCCGTGGCCCAGCCGTTTCCCAGCAGAGCTTGGCTGTTCCTTGAACTTTCAGTGTTGGTTCAATTTCCTCCAGTGGTACCACATGCTGCTGTGCAAACAGAGCACGTGGTCTGGCCAAACAAAGGAACATGTGTGCGGCAAACCATCCCCCTATCGCTGGGGCGCCAGCTCCGCCGGGAGAGGGCCGGGCCTGCACACCGTAATTTTTCACCCGGTAAGCTTTCGTCTGCGGCGCGAGAGAGGGGGCCTGCCTCTCTGCTTCTTCCAGCAGCGCTCTGGAAATAGCTGCCGAACGCGCACCGCCGGGTCAGGCCAGGCTTCCCTCAAACTGCTAAGGTTTCATTTCACCTCTGACCGGCTGCATGGGGACTCGCTGTTAAAAGATCACTCTCTCGGGACGCTGTCTGGGGGACGGGGCCCGGAACTGCATACCGCTGTCAAAACGACTCAGACAAGAGTCTCAGGCACATCTGCAAGACCCTGTCTCGGCTGAGGGGCACATGGGGAGCACCTCAAACCTATCAGTGTAATGGCGAGCAGTAATTGCATTAGGATTAGTTATCTCCTGCTCACTGTTCATTAGCCTAGAGGATGGCTCGCATCCAGCGAGAGGGTGGCATAGGGACAAGGAGAGGATGTGCGCCTAACAGGTCGTGATAATGAGACTTGCTCTCTTATAGTTTGCTTTCCCCTCCGCTCCCCCTCCCGGCCCTCTATACTCTCCTCCTCCGTGTTCCTCTAAAACCTCATTTCTGACTTTTTCCCGAAGGTTTTATGAAATGCGCAATTTAGGAAGATTACAAGGCAAAACAAAACAAAACAAAACACAAAATCTAGAATGGCTAGAGGTGGGGAAAGGATGCTGCGGAGGGAAAGGAATGCTGCGGAGGGCACGGGCTGGATTGCCTGAGTCATAGGAAAGGAAGAAAGCGGTTGGCATTTTCTAATGCCAAAATCAGGCACGAAGATGCCTAGGTGCTTTTCCTGGAGGGGCTGATTTCTGACACGTTTTAACTTCCTTCTCTGTGTGATGCCTCAGACAAGGGTGAAAGGGAGAGGTAGTGATTTCCGCGGATTTGGATCCTGGGTAGCATCATTTTAGATTGTATGAACTCTCCAGCCACACCCGCTGGGTTCTCCCGCAGCTCTCTGGATGTCTTGATTAGAGAAGTTAGAGGGGAGTTTTTTTGTTTCACGTCTGTCCCATGAACAAGGACCCAGTCATTTTATTCTTCACCGCACCCAGAGCACTGTCTGGCATTCAGAAGGTGATCAAAAATGCATGATGGGTAATAATAAAAAATAATAAAAATCAAGGCAATCGCCATCAAGAGGCATAAAACTCACTAGCAATGTGACACACGACAGATAATGACAGATAATATAACTTCTCTAAAGGTGTTTTTCATCTGCTAAACAGGATTAAAATTTTACCCATAAGCTTATTCACACGTGTGTAAGTCACACCAAATAGAGCTTAACTCATAGTAGGTGCTCAATAGATGTTAGTTCCTCTCTACATCTTGCTTTGTTCTCTCTAAAATGGCGATTAAAAAAAAAACTCTTTGATGTCTCAGGAGAAGGTAATTAACATTCTCTTAACCCATCTGAAAGGGCCAATAGAGTACAAACTTGTTTTATAATTAAGAAATGTATCAAACCCTATGCAGGACTAATTGCTGTGCAAATGTGATTGAGGCCTGTGAGGACAGGATTGCCTTTAATAGGTTGCAGCGAAGGGGACTATTTAATATTCTTCAGGGAAGTTTCAATACTCAAGTCTGAAGATTGGAAACTGCATCACTAACCATTATGAGTACTACTCCATGGTTTAGAGTAAATACACCAGGGCTTTGCTTAAATAATTATTTTGAAACTGAAGGTTTATGGAGAGTTCAGCGTTCAGATTTAGAAATGTCAGAAATAGAGTTTTATTTGTTTCCATTGCACATAATGAATTGCCCTTTAAATAATGAAGAAATGAAAATGCCAAGTACCACATACACCAATGGATTGCCAAATGTTAAATTCGGCCCCTGTGAGACTAAGACTTCAAAGCCACATATATCAGAGAATTCAGGCATTTATAATTTTCATAGAAATCATTGATCCAAAGGGAGCTTGATGAAGGCATCGTCACCAAATATATCACCTACACTTTCAACTTCTATTGTAGTATCATGGGAATACTTGGCCATCCTTGTCATTGGGCATCTGGGATAATACTTTGGAGAGGTGGCAATGAAGGAAGCTCCTTGAACAGTCTGTTGTGGATTCCACTTATTTGTATGGAACACAAATATTCACCCTTTGATAGTAAGACCATGTGTGTGTATTTAAGTTGGGACCAAGTTGGAATGAGGGACACTGATGGGTTGTCTTCCCTGTGGCCCAAGACCATGGGTTCCCTTCTCACAGATGACTACAAAAGATTGTTTGGGGGTCAAATCTTTCTCCTCCACCCACAGAGCCTTAGAACACCAGTTGTTTTCTCTTATCTCCCCTCCATCCTATCTAGATAAAGGATTTCTCTCCTTTTTCTCTCAGTCTAATTCATCAGTGTTTTACCTCTATCTGCAGTTTTGTCCCTTATTATTTTTCTCCTGAGTATAATTTTTATTTCTTTGTTCACTGGACCTTTACCTGGTTAGGTCTGCTTTCAATCATAGTCCAGTCTTCTAGATATTGAAAATAAATCCTCATTGAATTCTAGTATTTTTTCTAGTATTTTTTTCCAGGTCTCTCTCTCCTCTTACACTGCCTGTCTTATTTGTCTACATCTACTGTTTCTATTGTGACAATCACCTCTGTCCCTTTAATCCCAGAATCTTGACTTTGACCCCCTGGTAAGTCTCCTGACTACAGCATCTGTGGCCTATTCTGACCCCACCTTCCTTTGTTTATCAACCTCTCCTTAAGACCCTCTGGGCATATGTCATGTGGCACTTTTCTAAGTCTTTTCTGAATTTTTCCTAGTTTTCCTCTTCTGGGTCTTCTACGCCTCCCTTTCTCTTCTTTCTCTTCAATACGTGTATGTCTCAATAACCAGAGCTGACATTTATTGAGTACTTACTATGCATTTTAAACTTCCCATTAACGCTCTGACCAGATACTTTATTTTATTTTTAGAGGAAGACCAAAGCTAAGATAGCTGGTATATATCAAATCTTAGTCTGCTCTGCCTTGAGTCCAAGACTTTAACTGGGCTGCTCTATTGCCCAAGATTTGGTTCTCTGACTCAGTCACCTGTTTTTCTTTCAATACCGTGCAAATCTCACCATGTCTGCCTGTCTCACCAGATCTCAAATCCCAAATGTACTGTACTGGTTAGCTGACAACCTTCCCCTCCTTCCAACTCTCCTTCCTGACTTCTCTAACAAAACCACCATTTTCCCAGGACCAAGGCCTGACCCCTAGAATCGTCTTTTCTTTTCTTAGCTCACTTTGCTCAGCCCTTCATCCTATTAGACACTAGGCCTGGAACATATTTCTTTCATAATGTCTCGTGAATATTTTTTATTACAATCTCACTGCTATCCCTTAATATAGATCATTACATGGCCCCTTGCTGGAACTAACACAGTATCTTGATGTTTTGCTACCTGTTAT